CGAAACCGAGTAGAATCTCGGAAACTTGGAGCAAAGAGTACTTGCTTACTTTTATTCATACCACCCAGTATTGCGTGTCTGAAATGAAACACACAAACAAACAAAAAATAAAGTTTTGCAACCAAATAGTTTTCTAACCGATAGACATACCTAATACCTAAACTGAATAATATATACTGTTTAAGTAAAAAATTAATACATTAAATTAGGCCATTCATTAAACATGAGGTACCTTTGGGAACTGACAGGTTAAAATAGTTCAAAACTAAGATACCCAACTTGTTACTATATTTTACTTCGATACTCGTCCTGACACTATAAGAAGCACATTACAATAAACTTTACTAGAGCAATTCAACTCCAAACTAACCAGAATTTGTAGCCAATCAGATAAATCTTTTCACATGCGCAGAAAGAGAACACTTGCGAAATAAAGCAAAAATATGAAGAAAAACTGTTCACAGATCTACGGTGGTTTCAGACAGTGTAAACTGGAGGAAAAATTTAATTTACAAGTGTTAAATCGGGGGTAAATCGAATCATCTGGGGAAAATCGGTGTGAACTGTAGGAAAACGTAAATTCCAGGAATGTAAAAGCGAGGCTTACTGTGTATGTATCTATTTATATATATTATTTCTGGGCGAGTCACGTAACTTTAGCACCTCTTGTAAATTTAGAACTGTTGAAGATATCGCAATACAATTTTCAGGAAAATGCACAAGGGAATGGGACTAATTGATGCATGTATTTATGTGATATTGAGGTAACATTGCTTTTTCAACTGGAACTGTACACATTTTTTAACTTATCCTGAGAAGCATAAAAAGTTGAATCCAATGATATACATATTGTTATATAATAGATAAGCATGTTTTTGAGTAATATCGATCTTTTGCGATTAATATTAACAGATACTATAACGCCCAAGAGCACTGCATGACCTTAGGTGGTGGACTGTTGCATTCAAAATATGTTGAAAATTAATCCCCAAAAAATCGGAATTATTCTCCATTATTTGTGACATTGATTCTTTCGAGGGGGGGGGTGTCAACTTTCTTTCCAGGATATACTACAAGATGTTATCAGTTTCAAACTGTTGTGTACAATAGTTATTTTTGAACTACACTTTGAATAATAGCGACATTGCTTAGGACACATGAGTTAACCGTGTAGCGACCCTCATAATCGATTGTGTTAAAAAATCATTATAACATTCTTTTTCCAAGAAGGAAAAAACTCCAGTAAATCTCATTAGTTCTCATTGATGATGTCTGATTTGGTGGCATTTCAAATCACCAATTTTTAAAATCCTGGAAAAAAAGTATTTGAAAAATAGTCACAAGTTCAATTCACAATACTGTGGTAGTTGTCAATCAGCTTTCCTTACAAGTTTCTTGTTTTGTTTTTTTCAGATTCTGCAACAATTGATCATGATTACTTTGTTACTACAGTACCTACAAAACTGCAGGATTCAGGTAATGTCACTAGCTACTCTTGTATTACTCTCTTCTTTAATTTGTAGCGTTATGATTAGATCGCTTGATTAGTGATTCAGAACATTTCAACTGCTCTCGTTATTCCCATAAGTGTAGTGTATGTTATCACAGGAGGTGATCTTCCCCTGCTGGATGGAGAGATCCAGAATCTAGCTATCGGCTTGCCAGCGGGGAACCACCTCAGTCATGACTAACTCTAAGCCTCAGACTGGTCTCCTGGCATGTGTAGTAGTGTAGCATCTGTAAGTAAGTGGGTAAGGATAGGACATGGGAGAGGAAGGAAAGATCACACTCTGTCCTTGGCCTGTTTGTTGGGTACTGCCCTGGCATTTGCTTGGTGTTCATCATAGAAACTACAGAAAACTACTTTGTATATACTCTTACATGCACTACATAAGTGCATATGCCAGGAGACCGGTTGGGAGCTTAGGGCTTGTCCCGGCTGGTGCGATGCCCCGCTGATTGGAGATACCTGCATATGGAAGAGCATGCTAGCCGATTGTAGGTCTGTGTTAGATCTTGCCATACAGCAGAGGAAGACCAACGCCTCCGTCCATGCAAAATCATGCATTACACTTCAGGGACTAATGACCCTTAATGTGTCCGGAATCACTAACAATCAATCTGACAGAGAATATATTGCAAAGCATTAGAGAATCTTGAACTTCAAGTCTAATATATTATCTATTTTTGTTGGCGAAATAGTCCATTTCATCACATGCTGAACCTGATAATCGTCAGTTTCTAATGTTAAAATTTCCAAAAAGTTTTTCTTCTGACATTTTTTTTCTTTCAGATCTTTTATTAGTAGACAAAAAAAAAAAGTTTTCGCCCATTTTGACTACGATCTCAACAGATTAATTTATTCGCCAGTTTTCATGTAGTCAACCTAGTCTCGGTGTACTATAGAAATCACGATTCCTCAAAGCCCTCAAAATCAACTTCTGAGAATCAATAATGGTACATTTATACAGCTTATAACAGAACATAAGTTTTGACAACTACAAAATAAACAGTGATCTGGTTCTAGTAACATGACATCATACGACAATGAAAGAAGAAATCCACCTATCTAAATATATCGATCCGCTTCATCAGTATATCTTTCGACAATCATTGAAAGACATTGTAGTAATACAGAACAAAGAGGGTGATGTTTCTTAAACAACAAATTAATATCAAAAATAATTTAGTTAATAAAACTTGCACAATATAATTTATAAATATATTAAATATAAACATACTAATAGTACTATATATGGGACAATGTGACTGAATGGGTTAATACGTAAAATATTTTGGTACGTAATAGCCCTTGGGCAACTCATTACACTCAGGTTGTCGCTGAAAGCCTCTGAATGAGATCTATGCAGAACCGCGAACGAGTTTCGCAGCTGTTCGCACCAAACTCGTGCAGACACGGTTTTGGTTATCACTAGGACTTACTGATAACTGAGATTCCTTGTGTTGTAATGATGTGCAAGCTCAGCTCACAACCCAGCCTGCAGCGAGAAGCTGGATGCAAAAAGCATGAGTCATAGTTGCTTGCCTGTCGCAGTTCAAGGGTTAAAGCAAAAATCACTAAATTTGGTTGAAAAGATAACTCAAATTTTATTATAAATGAAATCCCTTAGTATTTTAACCCTTCGCCTGCTCGTGACATGTTGAAACAGAAAATTTGCATGCCTGAGAGCTTCAGGATGTGATGGTGCAGTTTGTTTGTCACTTGAAGCCTCTGGATGGTTACAGATATGAGGCCATTTTTGCTTTGCGAATGATTTTGGCAGAACACGTGTTGTTTAGCACACTATCTTGCATAGTAATGCTGTTCTGGTTTACTGGCCATGTGTTTCTATTAGTTAGTTTCGGTTTTTGCTGCAATACTTATTGTCTGGTTCAGTGATTTTTATGTAGGAACAACCACAGTTGGTTACTTATATTCTGCCCATATCACTATAATGAGCTTCAAGGAATGTTGAACAATCTCTCACCAGTGACTGCTTCACAAAAAAACCCCCGAGTCCTTGAAGTCCCGGTAGGTCCTAGGTAACTCGTGTTTTCTTTCGTCTTTTTTTAGTCCTTTAGTGGTTGAGTTGTTTGAAGTTTCTCTTAGCCTCTGTTTGGTTATTATTGTATTTGCTACATAATCCCTAAGTAACTTGCAGGCGGACTGAGCTCAGCACACAGCTCCACCAACAGCCATACATAAGCGCAGACCTCATAACTAGACACGGCTGTATCAGTCAAAAGGTTAAATATATAGATTAAATGCCAATTATAAGAATACATTATTTTCTTCCCTTGGGTGATAAAAAATTTCTTTCTTCATTGCAAATTCTTCAGTTATTTCCTTCTATTCTTCAGTCTCTTTGGTCATTCTAATTTCTAAATCTGACATTTCTTGCTTTAATGTCAAATACTACTACTTCTTCTTCAAGCCTAAAAGGCGTACCTCAGAAAAACTGCCATTTTAGTAGTGAACATTTTAGTAAATATATTTCCAATTAAGACAGGAGAAATTAAATTTCCTCGAGTGACTTTCAACCTATAGATGATGTTCTGTTCTTGTACGGAAATAAATGCCAGTTGTCATAAACATTAGTATGTAGAGGAAAAGATTTTGTAGAATTCATTATTGGTGGTTTGAGGAACCCCAAAAATGGCTAGGGTTGATAGTAGCTGTTCAATTCCTGCTCTCATCCCATTACAGCAATACGCTATGTAGAGAAGGATTTTCCTAAGGATGGGATGATTTGACAGCTAGTGCTGGCAACACAACTGACGATACTTGACGATTCTGTGTCCTTGAACTAAATAGTCTCTCTTCTCCATTCGTTCGTTTAGTTGGCTAACGTGTAAGAAGCCACGACGCTCCCTGCTGTGATGCCTCGTCCGACAAAAAAATATCAGTGGCCACGGAGAAATAATTAAAATTAGGAAGTGCAGAGTCTTGTGCATCTAATGTAAAGAATTCAGTTTTTTTATAAAATTATATTAATTTATTTTTTATGATAAGTATTTATGTTTTTTTTTTCTTTGTTTTAAAATCGAATGTCTTGAATGGTGAGACACGTATCGCCACGGTGCACATGTTTCCGGCCTCTGGCTGGTTGTGGCGACTGGCGACCTGTGTTTGGGATCTTTTCGTATAATTTCGTGTTTTTGTGCAATTGTTATCACGACTTGTGAGCCACGAGACGCCGGAGTGGGCGCAAAGTGGCATGCTCCTTGTTCACAGCCAGCGACAAGAGAAGGGACATTGATATCCCGTTGCCAGGAAAATGAAGAAATGCAGCGTGAAGGAAGACTTGAAGCAGGATCTGTTCGTCTTTGCTCACAGCAGAACTGCTGAATCTGACGCCCAAAAATGCAGGTTCTAAATAGTAAGCTTTTATAATTTTATAATTACACATAATTGACTGTTATTGTGCAATTGAGTTAAAAGTGTAACTAGGAATTACGTGTATTTAGCTATTATAGAAACAGAACATAAATTTAATTTGCAGGACTCCTAGGAAGAAAATAAATCAGAAGAGCGTGAATGTATTAGACCAAATGACGATTCGGCAAAGGTATCATCCACGAAAAAAATTATTTCGGAGATGTGTGAAAAGGGTAAGTGTTAATTCTTATATTTAATACTTGACCAGTTATATTTCTATTGAAGTTCGCTGTTATGGACCCGTGTGGACAATATTATTAATTGCTGCTGGACATACTGATGTTCGATACCCAACCCTATCACCTGCCACTACTATCCAATAGAAATGGTGTGGAATGATTTGCAGACGAGGTATTACAAAACTCATGTTGGAACTCAATTTGATCGGCTCATGAAAACACAGTTGGCAGGATGCCCCTTCATCAAGTTGCAGACTGAGAAAGAGTAAGGAATGATTAATCATATATATTTACAGTTTGATTGACTTTTCTTAGATAATCATTAATGTGTATTGTGTTTAAAAGAGAACGTGTATTACCTGATCTTCAGGGTGGGAAAAATATGTGAAACATAGTAGAGGAAGATGTTAAGAAGACGGGATCGAGGAAGTGAAATGGGACAGCATAAATGTGGACAGCACTTTATCATCAATTTAGGAGAAATTTCAAGGGATTGAAGATAATGAAAGGACAGTGGAACCTCTTTGCTATCCCTACCAGGAGAGGGTTTAAATATGAAGAACTGTAGTATCAGTTTGAAATTATCATGAAGTTGTATTAGTAAGTAAAACATACTGTCTTTCCATATTCACATGCATTTTCCTTTTGTACTTTTACAGGAAAAACAGATCTGCAACTGTATTTATGGTAAATAACAAGAAGATTCCTATTGTAAATTTTCATTAATATTTAATTAATGAAATTGTTAAATTTTGTCTTTTATTAGCTTTTCACTTTATCTTCAATAGAGTCCACATTTGGTGGCCTGAAGGATGAAGCAGTTGGGCTCGGATCATCTTTCAGACGTGTACCTTCCGAGACTGGATAAAATATGCTGATTTTAGTGAGATTTCTTGAACCCCAATTAATGACCAACCCATTGTCGTCCAAGAAGAGAAATTTCAATAAAAAAATAACTAATTAAAAGTTAACTAAACGGAAACTAATAATTCTCTCTTGTTCAGGAACTTCCACTGCACAAGGAAACAACAAAATGTTATAGCATGTACCACAATTAAATTAAAATAAATACGTTCCTACCACTTGTTAATTTCTTTCTTTAAATTGTGTATGGTTTAAAGGTTTGGTATTGATTTTGTTATATTGATTATCATTGTTTTTGTTGTACTGTTATTTTGTAGGTTTGGTATTGTATTGTGTTATTTAATTATTTAATTTGGATACTGTTTTTATATTTTTTTTCTTTGCATAACATATGTTTTATATAATTCTTTTAAGTATATAGATTCTATTTTGTAAACTTTGTTTAAAATTGTTGCTTTCTACCATATCTCAGATTTGTTTCATTGCAAGCTGGCTTGAACTGCATCCCAAGCAAGAGTTCTCATTCAGGTGCAACTTCTGAATTCATTAATTATGTGAAATATAAATATTGAATATTATTATTATTGTAGTTAAATTGTGTCCCAGTGAATGGAATTAACAATTTCTCTGGTCAAATTGCTACAATATATTTTATTGAAAATGATGAATGGCTTGTAAAGAAACAACTCTCAAAGAAAATTGTAAAGCTTTCATTTAGAATCAAGACATGCATCGAAAAAGCATAACATTAGTGAAATATAAAAAACAATCATTAAAACACATTTGAGTATATGAGATCATAGTACCAAGTCTTTCATATCGGAATGTTTTAATTATAAATAAGCCACCCTCAACACCACAAAAGTTGTTGGAGCAATTGCTGTTGAAACGTCCAGAAAAGGTATTTTTTGAACATCCCTGAAAACGATAGCAGAATCTATCTCATTCTACACATTAGCAGTATTTCATAGTCTATTATTTATGTGATATTACGTTAAGAATTTTTCCCCTTATGTAAATAAATTTCTTATTTCCCGGACTCGCGTTGGCTGCATATTAAACTAAGCGAAACTTTAGACATCAAGGTCAGTGATGTCTCCGCGCGTGAACCTTAAAACAAACCTACGAGGAGCGTAACTAACAGCTGGACGTGGCGGAAGGATACTTCTTGAAGTAACTTTGTGCTTCACTTGTTTTTTTCATCTGGTCACTTTGATCCATCGGTTTAGAAAAATTCTTGGTATAGCATTATTACTCAATTTATAGTTGCTCTCTCGTTCTCCCTACCTGCCATGCCTATCTCTCTCTCCTCCTCTCTCTTTGCCTCTCTCTCCACTCTCTCGCTCTCTCCTTCTCTCCTCTCCTCTCTGTCTTTCTCCTCTCTCCTCTCCTCGCTCCTCTCTGTCGTTCTTCTTCTTCTCCCCTACCATCCTCTCCTATCTCTCTGCTCTCCTCTCTCCTCTCTCTCTCCTCTCTCTCGTCTCCTCTCTCTCCGTCTCTCTCTCTCTCTCTCTCTCTCCTCTCTCTCTCTCTCTCTCTCTCTCTTCTCTCTCTCCTCTCTCTCCCCTTCTCTTCTCTCCTTTCTCCCTCTCTCTCCCTCTCTCTCTCCTCTCTCCCCTCTTCTTCTCTTCGTCTCGTCTCCTCTCTCTCTTCATCTCTCTCTCTCTCTCTCTTCTCTCATCTCTCTCTCTCTATACCGTTCTCTCCGATGAACTGAGATCTGATGAGAGGAGCTATCGTGCTAGTAACCGATCACAGAATCATCTCTTCCTCTCTATCTGCTTGACTGACCCTGTATGACGTACGTTAGCTCTCTCGCTACGCAGATGACTCCGAGAACGACAGTAGAGGAGAGCAGAGAGGAGAGAGAGAGCATAGGGTCGGAGATGAGACGGATCTCGAGAAGAGGATGATGACGTATGAGATAGGCAGGCACTGGTAGCGAGATACGCCGAGAGCAACTATCAACTGCATGATACTTCGTCCTATCACTCCATCTCTAATTGCCCTACCTCTCTCTCCTCTATCACTCTAAGAATTCTTTCTCCTCCTCCCTTAACGATCTGGACTTCAATCTCTCTCTGTCCCTCTCTCTCTCTCCTCTCTCCCTCCTCTCTCTCTCTGCCTCTCTCCTCTCCCTCCTCTCTTCCTCGCCTCTCTCTCTCTCTCTCTCTCCTCCTCTCTCTCTCTCCTCGCTCTCTCTCCTCTCTCTGTTCCTCTCTCGTGTTTCTCTCTCTCTCCTCTCTCTCGTCCTCTCCTCTCCTCTCCTCTCCTCTCTCTCTCCATCCCTCTCTCCTCTCTCTTCTCTCTGTCTCCTGCACTTCCTCTCTCCTTTCCCCATCTCTCTCTTTGGTGGGTGTGTAAATGCCTCTTCCCATGTAGACACTTTCTCACACCTTCATTTAAAAGCCTACACCGAGTTGCTTTCGATACTTGCATGCTACATGTGTGCTTTCTGAAGCTGACAGATGCATCTCTCACGAGGTTGTGAGGCTTTTGACTTAAGCGACTTACTAATGGCCATTCTACAGGGAAGAAATACGTTATGCAATAGGATGGCGATGTTTTATGTAGATCAGCATTGTTAAACATTTAGCCGAGGATTCCCCATTTACAAGAGTCCATTGGACCCAGATTCTACAGAATGATTGATAATGGAGTGCACACAATAATACGTTTAACACCAGATTAAGT